CACGCCTATTTACACTTTCAAGTTAAGAATAATAAGAGCTTTTTGACGCCAACAGGTTTCCGTGATCTACCTCATGAAATATGTTTCCACAGCTAGCGCTTTTATTTAAATAGATCGTGTCGTAGATTATAATGAGTGGAGCAATGTGACAATCGATAGAAGCAACACGCGAACTCAAGAACGGTTAGGACATATAAAATTCGTTTTATTATACGCTAACCCAAACTAGGAATCATTGTGGTCGATTACAGGAAAATGCTTTCACTTCAGATATTACTCCCATCGCTATCACACTCTTCACAGAGGGAAAATAAAATATGATAACACTGTATTATATTGCAGACGGGACTTCTGAATGCAAATACTTCCCCTTGGCCTGTTAGTGAAATGCGTTTTCGTTGAACTGGTTATTCCTGACTCATCTGAGTTTAAGTGGCGGCTGTCCACAAACTATTTGCACTGTGACCGTAATACAGTGGAGTATTTTACAGACCGACTTGGGAAACAATGTTATGCGAGTCACTTCGGGGTTAGAGGAATTGTTTATTAAACGGAGAGATCAACGACAATGAAGTTTGTAAAAACTGTTTTTACACACACACCAGTAAGTCGAGAAGCTAACCGCGTTGATTTAAAACCTCCATTATCAGCTTAAAATTAAATAAAATGACATTTCTTCATTTAACTTAAAACGATTGGTCACTTTTCAGTATGAAACATATTTTGAAAATTAAAAGGGTGGTAAATATTGCGCGAATGTATGTATCACGCAACGATACCAATAAGTCACGCAATCGGGTCCCCGATAACTGATTGGCAGTATATTTTAAGGGAAGCATGGATAAGTAGTAAGCACATCCGACTACCGCTCTGACTACTAAATGTAGGGCAATGGAGTTCTGTGCAGATCTAGCCTGTTCCAGGCTCCGAGATGGTGGTGGAAAGTCGTTCAGTAATACCGTATTTATTCGATTAACCGCCCTGGGCGCTTATTAAATTTTTGGACCTTGATAGTGGGCGCTTATTCGAGGTGGGCGCTTATTCGAGGCTGGGCGCTTATTAAATTTTCACCATTTTCAGCAAGTGAAGTATGCTTCTAACAAAACGCGAAGAAGTGACAAAGCAAGGTTTCTGTAAAATACTCTGAAGAAAACTCCGTCCTCAAGGTCTCTTATTGGAACTTTTTCACTTAATTGGGTGGGGTGGGGGTGAGTGCTTATTTGAGTTTGATTGGGGGGAGGAGGGGGTGGGCGCTTATTCGAGGCTGGGCGCTTATTATCTTTTTCTGCCTTTAGGATGGGCGCTTATTCGAGGTGGGCGCTAATTCGAGGTTGGGCGCTTATTTGAATAAATACGGTAAGAAATGCGAAAAGCGCGCGGGGGCTGCCCCCTTTCCCAAGTTGTGCGCGTCTTATTTTCGCTTTGCTCGTTTTAATACGTTCCCACTATACTATCTGAGAGCCTGGCACAGGCTAGTGCACATCGTACTTCGACTCCATCCCGGGGGGTGGGGGAGGGGTACTCGAGCAATATTTGGGTAAAGGTGAGCCGCGGAGGATTTGAAACCCTGGCCCTGTTAAACGCAAAAAATTCCCAAAATACATACCCTGTCAGGTAATCGGCTCCTGACCCTGTTTAAGACAAAGAAGAAAATTCACGCCGTCTTGATTTAAAGCCATTTATTAGCATTCGGCGACAGAACAAATTCACGTTTTAGGCGATCGTATATGTCACAGTTAATTTTTATTTTTCTGTTGTTTTTGGGTATGGTAATGTATGCTAATGAATTTTAAACAAAGGAAAAACAAAAATTAACTGCAACATATACTTGGAGTACAAACAATATTTTTCCTTCAAATCAAATCAATCGTGCAGGCAATACCGTGTTGACAGACTCACACGAAATTATATACCTTGTTTAGGACAGAGAGGTCAAAAACCATACCCTGTCCAGCGGCACATCCCCGTATAGGCCATATAAGGAAGTATTCCCCCCCACCCCCGCGGGGGACTCCATGACCATGTTTATATTTAATACGTAGTATACGGCGCATTTACAATGCAGAGAAACTTGATACGGTACAGACAACCTTTGTAAAGAAATAATGGAGTTTCTGCAGGGCCACAGGAGCCTTTTGTCAACACTGGGGCATTTGTTAAGTCTGTAAGACACTGTACTGTACTGTAAACGACAGCCATGTTGATGTGCCAAAAATGTCCCTTGGGGATTAAAGTTTTTCTTGGGGATATCCCTTGGGGATTAAAAACTTTTCTTTGTTCCAAGAAATTGGCATAGCTACTGACAATGTGGCCATAGGTGAAAACGATCTGTACACGTCATTTTCACATAGACCATAATGCAACTTGATCAGTGATAGACTATACCGGACTTGATTGTGCACCCGGAAGAGCTATTTTAAATCTCAAAGTTCAGTTTGTTAGGGAAATGAAAATATTTTTGCTTCAGAACGTTACTATATTTCACTCAGGTTATATTTATTAAAACAGCTGGTACTTTGGTCTTGATAAATACCAAACTCCAGCTTCTTGATTACACGAGTCCCCATAGTTTACTGAATAGTAAATTTTTTCTCCACTTTGAAGGCATTCATCTGCAGCCGCAATTACAGAGGAAACATTCGAACACACCTATAATCCCCGATTAATACTAAAATCGCGTCTATAACAAAATTCTCAAATGTGATCGGTCGGGCTATCCTGATCAGCACTTATAGACAGTGTAATAGGACAGGAAAATACACGTCATGCCTAAGTAATCGGACAGTACGCACCATCGCGCGCGCACTTGAAGAGTTCTCTTTTTACACTGCCAGTGAAAAAGGCTCTCAAATAGTGATTTAATTTTTAAAAGGCTTAAAATATCACAGATTTTGTTATAGTTATGATTCATTGCTAACAGAGCTTCGTGTCGTCCAAGCCTGTCTGTGATCATATTCGTGATTTAAAAAATCAGACTTCCGCTATTTGGTCTTTCGTTTTGTCTTCCTTAATAGTTAGTTTTTTGTTATAGGTAGTGCGGGCGATGGAGGAAGCCAAGAGCAAAGGGGAGCTATTGGTTATAGCCAATCTTGCTGAGCAGTCAGAACGATATGAGGGTAAGCAGTCAATGGGGGGTGAGGCGGGGGCGTGGATACTCCCTGTAATGACCAATATGGGGAGGTTCCGCCAGAAAGGAGTACCTATTCCGGGGTTCAGGTATATCATGAAAGGGTAGGGATTTCTTGAGTTGAAGGGTAGGAAAATCCGTGTTGTTGAGTCTTTTGACTAATAGGACCAATAAACTACTGTAACGAAAAAATTTGGTTCTAAGCAGCGACGTTTTTGATTGAGTCCGAAAGGCTTAACCTTTGATGATATAAAATTTGTATTCCTCAGCTTCTTTACTGTTATAGAGGCGATTAGACTGAAAATTTGCGCGAAACCACCGTCAAAAAATAAAAAAAGGGCACTTCCGGTTGACGTGCGTCGCTCAAAAACGTTGTTGCTTAAGCTCCTTAATGTCTCGCGAGCAAGAAGGAGGAAGAGTTCCCTTCCCTTCTCATCGTGTTCTCTTCCTTTCAGTGGGGACTTCACGATCCGACGACGCGACGGCAACGAGAACGTCAAAAACAACAATAGATTTAGTAGGCAAAAAAACAACTTTGCACGTGCATCTTACCTTTTTGTACATTTCTTTGCCGTTTTTTCGACTACGACGTGAAATTGCTTAATTTTACTTTTTCGGGAAGACGTGAATTTTATTCTCTGTCTATACTTGAATATGGTTCTTAGAAATTCAACTCCAGGAGGGTTCGCCTACATTTGACAAAGTAAGTGAGTTGGAACAATCGTGATAAAAACCGAAAGAAAGCAAATTCATTTTTGAAGGGACGTTTTTGCTGCCTTTGCGTCGTCCTATCGTAAGTCCCTACTCTCTTTCGAACACCTTCCAAGCAGGCTAGGGGGGCATGTTTCGTTACTTCCTGAACCAAGAGAGAGAATAATGGATCAGAGAGGGAAGCGCCCGGTCCAGTCCTTGGGATATGTGAATTTCATCAAAGTTATTTTTAGACCTATTAAACGCTTGAAATTAATCGGAAGTTGGTTTCCAGAGAGGTCCACAAACCTTTTCTTCAATGTTTGAAGAAAGAATTATGAAACATTTTGCTCTCTTGCTGTGTGGTCATTAAAATATTCTAAAATCCTGCAGTTCCAGTTTTCCTCTTGTGTTAATTTAAAGATAATTTTTCGAAACACCTGCCGTATTAAATCTTTCTTTCCATACAAGGACCGCCCAAATCGCTTTCAAAGATCCAAAGTCATTCACGAAGCTTGTTGTTGGAATTGTAATGATTTTTACATTGGTAAAACTAAGCGACGGCTCCATGATAGGAAGACTGAACACTTCAAGTCCCTAACAAAAAATGATCACTCTTCAGCTATTGCTGGCCATGTCACTGCCGCGAGACAACATTAAATGGGATCATTTTGAAGTCTTAGCATCTGCCAAACAGATTATCGTTGTAAGATAAAAGAAATATTGTTTATACAAGACCTTAAGCCAGCTTTTAATGCCAAAATCAGCATTGGAAAGCTGATGCTTTATTAGCTGTTGCCTTTTGTATTCATTACTGTTAAAAATTGTTAATCTCTTTTCCAGACCCCTTGTTAATTTTTGAATATAGTCTCGTCATTATCTTCAAGAGTCACTTAAGATCACTTTTGAAAATGTATGTTGAGTAGCATACGAAACGTCAAGTTTATAAAAATGCGAAAGCGCACAATTTTTATCACCGCTGTTTGTGCTTTATTTTTTACCAGAATATTCTGCATTGTTTGCTTTGAGGCAGTCACGCGTGCACTTGATGACGTTCCAAACATTAAATGCGCGGACGTGCGAGAAATTAGACTTCCGTTTAATTTCAACCTCTAAAATAGCTGAAGTGAAATTCGCATATCCCGGCCATCGCCCAGTATAAGATTACCTCTTCTGGTTCTTGAACTTAAAGATAGCGTCGTCTTTTTTTCCAGATATGATGGAAGCCATGAAAAGCATAGTAGTTATGTCTCAAGTGCTAGAGACAGAAGAGCGCAATATGTTGTCGGTGGCCTACAAAAACGTCATAGGTGCGAGAAGGGCTGCGTGGAGAATATTCGCCGGCCTGGAGCAAAAGTATTCGGATAACGCCAAGCAAAGTGATATGGTCAAAGGGTACAAAGAAAAGATAGAGAAGGAAATCCATGAAATATCTGATGGTATTCTGGACCTTTTAGATAAGTACTTGATCCCAAGCGCTGAGACGGACGAGTCAAAAGTATTCTTTTACAAAATGTAAGCAGTGTCAGTGATAAATCTTACTTTTAGCTTTGCTTACTTGTCTGTGGTCTTTTGCAAATAGCTAGTAGAGTTTTTATATAGTCTATAAAATTTGCGGGAAAAGCGATCTGAAAATAACAGTAGCAAGTGGCATGTAGTTATGGTGTGATTCCTTGTTTCAGAGAAGTGGAGTTTAGAGGGGATGAGGGCAACAAAAAAGGCTTGTCTTTTTTTCGGTCTCTCAAAGTCAACACCCAACGTCTCTCTAGCACAAGTAAGATTGAAAAAGCAGCTTATATAGACGACTAAGCAAAAAAGGAATGTTTTGGACCTGATATTTAACTTTAATTTTCCTGAAGTTCAGTAGAAACTTAGCCTTGCATTGATTTTGTTTTATTTTGTTTTATTTTATTTTTTGCAGGAAGGGCGATTACTACCGCTACATTACCGAGATAAATCAAGGTGATGCTGCTAGGAAAGAGCCGGCAGATAAAGCTCTTAAGGCTTACAAAGATGCGGAGGCTGTGGCTACTGGTCTCGCTACCACTCATCCCATTCGTCTTGGTCTGGCCCTTAACTTTTCCGTGTTCTATTATGAGATCCTGGAGAGCCCAGATGAAGCATGTCGGCTGGCCAAGAGAGCTTTTGATGACGCGGTCAGCGAACTAGACGCCTCTAGCAATGAGACACACTACAAGGAAAGCACACTAATTATGCAGCTTTTGAGAGATAATTTAACGCTTTGGACTTCAGAAATGCAGGAAGAAGGTATGTTCGTGAATTTTGGAAAGGAATACGCACTTTATGTAGTAGCTCATAAGTACTTTATATAAGTCATATTGATTTGTGTCACAGTCGTAGACTTCTGGAAGTTGGCGATTTCCTTTCGTTTTTTTCTCATGAAGTGGCCCAGTAAAACAAGTATGTCGGGGCTTTCGTCAGCGCTTTGAGGTTCCTTTCAGAGATGAGATACGAAATCAATATTGTGAGGCGTAATTATCATTAACGGCCTTCCGGTTTTCCCTTTAAACTCTACAATTCTGAGCGTTTAGTTAAGGACTGTGTTTATTTCAAAATCACATTGCTTAACTCACTGACAACAATAACGGTCAAACATTTCTAAATATTATGTAAAACAGGAACATGAAAGTGTTCTAATTTCTCGCTTTTTTGGCTGAGATGGGATCTTAATTACCTGGATGGTGTATAGTATTACCAGGTTGTACCGAGTGTTTTCTTATATTGAAACCCTGAAATATTGGGTGCGGCGTTTATTCGAGGGCGGCGTTTTATCAAGTAATTAGAGAGATTAAGAGTCATGTTTACGGCAAACGTCAGATGCAAGTTGAGAATTTCTCAGAATAGAAAATAAGCAGATAAAAACTATCCGGAACAATTCTTATGGATACAACTGGCGTGAAATTACTTGGTCTCGTGGTACAAATTCGCGTTCGCAGTTTGGCGTAAATGTGATTATTATATAAACACCAATGAATTTCGCGCGAAAACTTGATATCTTCACATGTGAAATTCACATGTGAAAATATCACCGTTGCTATGGCTACATAATGAATCGCGCCTTTCACGCCAAAAAAATATTAAAGTGAAATGGTTTGGTTGTTCACTGGTGTTTATATAATAAATACAATATTACATGGTCGCTTGGAGATACGAAAATTCTCTTCTCATGTTCAAAAAATATTTCACTCGTTCGCTGAGCTCACTCGTGAAATATTTTGCAACACTCGAAGAGAAATTTCGTATCTCCGCGCGGCCATGTAATATCCTTTTATCTTTTAAATCTCTCTATCATCGTATTTATTCGAATAAGCGCCCAACCTCGAATTAACGCCCACCTCGAATAAGCGCCCACTCTCAAGGTCCAAAAATTTGATAAGCACCCAGGGCGGTTAATCGAATAAATACGGTAACTAGCGGTAAGGACTAGGAAGGGGTCTGGAAGCTAACAGGAACTTGGAATGTCACATACCTGTGAAAAAGTGAAAGAAAAAATGACGGTTGTTTTAACAATAGTAAATAAAATCTGCTTTCCTTTCAGGTGGTGATGATGACTTATGAGGGCGATGCGTGACCCCTTTTATAAAGTAAATGAATAAGAAACAATATAAGCAGTTTAATACACGAATTGTAAACAGTTTAGTCTGTAGTTTATACGATAGCTGGAGGTAACTGACCTGGCGCAAAAAATCAAGAACTGCGTTGAAATTTAAAAAAAAATTGTTTGAAGTGGACAAACTTTGTTGAGAGTCCTTTTTTGCATTCAGTGTGGCTAACTTGATTTATCATAACAAGACGGATGCCAAACGTATAGATCGAGTTAACGTCAATTTGTTTAACTACACACACTGTTAATGATACAGATTTGTGTATGAACTGTTATTCCCCGCCTGCAGAAAAATCAGTGGTACTTCTTAATTCATTCTAAAGACAATAAAAATAAACTAATTTTTTATCTGGTTGCGTCTACTGTCTGGAAAGTGGTTCTCAAAACCCGGCGAAAAGCGGTAGGGAGCTAGTTTAAGACCGACAAACCTCAGTGCTTTGACTTTGAATTTCAAACGGTGGCCCACGTCATTATCGACGGTCGGTATACGCCACTTGCACATCCCCAATTTGCCCCCCAAACGTTTGCATAAACTTTGTTTTTCATTTCTCCTGGGTATTACAGCCGTCCCAAGAGAAATTGAAAACAACGCTTATGCAAAGTTTTGGGGGGCAAATAAGGTGCATTATGAGAGATGTGCAAGTGGCGTATAGAGTTTTAAAGTGATGACGTCATAAAAATTAAATTGATGAAAATATGGGATTTGACGGGATATTCTGAAAGGACAACATCCAAAAGGCTTAGTTACCAAAAACCAGCATTTCTGGGCAAATTGTCTCTGAAATACTAGCCCAGCTATCCTCCTCGCTACAGAGATGATTCCATAAAAATGAAACCCTTCTAAATCAACGTTATTATGAACAAAGGTATAAATTTAGAAGGATTTGTGTGCAGTCATCAGAGGATAACTGGGCTAATAACTCGGGACAATTTACTACGAAATGCTAGTTTTTAGCAAGTAGGCCTTTTGGATGTTGTTGTTTTGAAATATTCTGTCAAATCCCAAAATCTCACAAATTTAATTTTCTTATGACGTCACACTTTAGGAAACTATATATAGTTCTTGGGGGTGGGGGTGAGGACAACCTCGTGATCAGAGCAGGGAACTGTTTTCTCGGGACATTGTTCATTGTTCATGATGTTGTTTACAAAATTATAAACTTCTATGACCATATAGCTTCGAACACATTCCCGTCGGTAATAAAATGGCTTTATTGTGCCGATTCCACATTTAATCTGGACCCGACCTGACACGTTGGCCGGGGGTTGTGGGGAGGGGGGTACTCCGGTTTATTACGCTTTATAGGTATGTGCCGCCGGGTAACGAGTATAGCTTTCGCCTTTTATGGTCTGAAATAGGGCATGGTTTCCAAGGGAACTACAATAGTGTGTTAACACATTTTCACCTGAAACACTGTTTAGTGTCAAATAATACTAAATGATGATAATTAAAAACCGGGGTAAAAATTGCACCACAACATATTATGACATACCATGGATACACACTCGCCTGAAGGCTCATGTGTGTATACTATAAGAAAAATCAAGTCACTCGAGCTCGTGGAATATTTCACGGTATACCACTCGAAAGCATTGCATAATTAGTATTTAATTCCACATGAAACTCCATGCGTTAAGGACCTAATTAATTCCCTTGTTTTGCAATGCACATCACCAGGATCCGTGGAATCAGACTGAGTTTTTGCTCCTTGGTACCAAGCAACAGCTAGCTAAGGTTGACATTAATAGTATTACTGTTGGTGGGTCTGTTGTGAACACAAAGCCGGTTGTCAGGAATTTAGGTTCCTGGTTTGATTCTCAGCTTAGTATGTCTACTCATATTAACAGGCTCTGTAGCTCAGCCTTCTTTCATCTACATAACATCAGTTGTATTCGCAAGTTCCTAAGCCCCGTGGAAACTAAGTCCTTGGTGCATGCATTCGTTACTTCTCGCGTTGACTACTGCAATAGCCTTTTGTATGGTCTACCTGCCTTACAGCTTAACAAGGTTCAGCGTGTTTTACACGGGCGTATGGAAAAGCCGGAATCCGGAATCCAGAACCGGAGCCGGAAACGGAAACGGAACCGGAAGCGGCACCGGAACCCGAACCCGAACATAAGAAATAAAAATTGGAGACGTTTCTGTCTTGAGAGTATCACTAACAATAATTGTTCGATCAAGACTTTTCATCCCCACATTATATTTATTTATTGTTACTATATTTTTTACTGTCGCATTTTTTGCGTACGGCGCAACATAGTTTTCTTCGAGAATTTTATATACGCGTGTCTGAGTGTTGCAACTTTGGATCATGATTGACATGAGTACTCCTCCTCCCTTTGCCGCCCTTCCCTCACAATGCAGACAATGGATGAAACACGGAGCCCTTTTAAGAAAAGGTACGAGTGAGAATATAAAAGTTTTCATTCTTCTCCGTTTTACTGAGTTTGAAAAAATGTTATCATTTTACAAAAACATATCTGTTTTCGTTTACAGATAGCGACAAAGCGACGAATCGATTGAAATATGAGTACATTTGAAAATGTGAAGTTGTTGTGCCTTGAATTTATGCTCGAATCTGCGGCGGAACAGCACGGGCTGATTCTTTGAATTTTAGTGGTTATGTTATTTTTTTTTGCTTGTCACTTTCCGAATGTGAGTATATCTTTGGTATCACGATCACTGTGCTAAAAATTTCTTAAAACAATGATAACAGAGGACGCCATCTTGAATTTTATTTCCACACGGGTATCGGGAACTGGTTTCAGTGCTTCCCAGTTTACCCCGGTCTCAATTTAAGTTCCGGATTCCGGATTCCTGCTTTTCCATACGCCCGTTTTACACACTGCAGCAAGGCTTTAATATTTGCTGCGCTCCGCGCTTCAGCCATATTACACCACTGATGTATGAGCTACATTGGCTTCCGTTAAAGCAGCGCATTCATTTTAAGATTTTGTTATTTGCATTTAAGGCTATCCATATATAGCCCCTACATACATTCAGAACTTAGTTTCTTTGAAATCGCAAGGCACAAATAACCTCAGATTGTCAGGTGGGATTTTGCTAGCATCGTCAACATTTAGAACTAAGGTCGCACTAGGCGATAGGTCCTTCCAGGTGGGTGCGCCCAAGTTATGGAATGCTCTTCCGCGTGAGCTTCGCGATATTCCAAACTTGCATACTTTTAAGAGCAATCTTAAGACGTATCTTTTTAAGTTTGCTTATGGTTGAATGAATTTTAATTGTTACACATCGATATTTTAGATTTTTAAGGCGGAAGTGTATATATTTTTATTGCTTCGCTTATTGTAAATAGGTTTGTAGTTTGTAATGCGCATTTGATCATTTTTATGAATACCTGCGCAATATAAGTGATTAAATTATTATTATTATCACCTAGTGTGCGTAACATTGCGACTTCAAAGGTGGTTTTGATTTTGACCAGCCGCCTAAAAAGAGGTAATTATGGCCCCTTTTGAAGTCCAAATTCTTCTAATAGCCATTTTGATAATTCTACCTGGCTAAAAAAGGTGATTGTCTTGAAACTCGCCTCAGTCCTCTCGCGCAAAATGATCATTTGAAGCCAAAATTATCTTTTTGTTGTCGTTTTGCTTTGAAACGAGAACGGTGATCCCAGTTTTACTCGT